GGCGGCTGCCTTGATCGTCGTAGTGGTACTTCCGTACGCGACACGTCTCTGATTCGCAAGCACGTACACAAAGCTTGAATGTGTGGCATCTGTAAAATGTGGCACAACTACTAGTTGTCAACTAGGACAACCACAAAGAAACGAAGCAGTTTGTGCAAGCATCACAAGGAAAACCATCACTAGCATACACTGTTGACACGAGATGGCGGCAGCAACGGAAAAGTGGAGCTGGCGCATCGAAATCGCTAGCCAGCGCCATGTTGCACATTGTTGCCTCAACTTGAAAACTTACAATACTTTGGTGCACACGTGACACTCATGGTCAGCGGAAGGACAACAGTATGGTCGGCGGAAGGACAACAGTACTGTAGCCGCTACAGTCAACAGTGTTGATTGGAGTCCAATCAACGTTATCCTTTCGAACGAACCTATCGGAGCGACTCATCGAACTATGATAAACGATGGTCTGGATTACCTCTCCTCCGTGTTGGTTACCTTAACGTCCACAGCATCGCACGCAGCTTCGACATCGAACCTGACCATTTTCAATCCCATTCCGATTGAGACCTGCAGAAGCAGAATAAACATACTCTGTAGCGCACGAACACCGCATCTTCAAGGGGGAACTAGGTAGAGCATAGATGTTACTCGAGAGCCGAGACAAAATCTCGGTGATCGAGACCAAGTAGGATCATCGCTAGCTCATTCAGTCGAACGTTGAAAAGTGTGATCATGATCAAGATTCATGATCTGCAGCTCGACTCTACTGGGATCGAAGCCGTCTTCATGTGACTCACTATGACGCAATACAATGATACGAAACTGCTAAGATTGAATCCGCTTCAAGCGAGAAGACTCTTCGGAAGAAACATTCATCACAAAGTCCCAATGGAGTTGATAGCGGATGGTTGAGACTGAGACCGTAACAGCAACAGTGGGGATGATATCTTGTAGCACCATTAGTGACTCACGCAAGCATCATTCCAAAACTCCGAACGTGTCCGCTGGAGTCCGCATATTATCAAATTCGTCGTCCTCCTCCAGGCTAGTCATCTCGACCGTCCCCTCCCTACCCAAACAATAGATCATATCCCGCAGCTGAGAGCAATCCCTCACCATAAAAAGCTCTCAGCAAGAACTTCTTGCTCTCTTCTTGCCAAGAAGAGAGCTCACACCTCTCAGAGGCGCCTGGCATGTCAAGATCACTGCCACGTATGAAGACCACCTTCGACTGTCACCACTGGTGAAGTCTTCTTAGAAGACTTCTCCACGCTCGAACTCCTAAGCGGCCGATACCATTTCTTTTAGAGCTGAGGACCTCGGCTATCGAATGACATAATACCTGGTATTATGTCATTCGATTGCTGGCAGCAATTTGCTGCTGCTGTCACTGACATACCATTCGTCGCCCCCTGCAGAGTCTTCAAGTTGAAGACCTCAACTCTCAAATCTAGGGCGGCACGCAGAAGGAAAGATGGGGAAATTATTTCCTTCGGAAGGAAACTTTCCAACCGAAACTCCGTTGGAAAGTTTCCAACGCTCGGTGATTAGAGCTGTCGTTAAGCATTACTCGATTGATCCTTTGATGGTTGCATTTCTTCGTTATCATCAGCACTTCTGTCTCTGTTCTATCGTCTCCATCACGTATGCCTCAACAATCTCATCTTTTCTCGAATAAGGGAATTGTCGAAAACTTTCGTCAACGGCAGTCCACGCGGCGGCCAGCAGTGGGGATGTCTTCTAGTGACCAATAAAGCCTTCCAATTTCGATCACTTTCATAGGTTCGAGCGCTCGTATCAGCAAGAAACGCAGACGAGAACACTGACGAATTACGATGCGCAGCGAGGTGCGTCAGGGCTACCTCTCTGTTTGTCTTGGAGTATGCTACGTTGATACTTCACCGTGTTGTGCTTGTGGGAGTGCAGCAATGCTGCAGCAGCATTTCCCGCTTGAATGAGGTGATCTCTGATCATCCTGGTGAACAATGTTTCCCTATGCTTAGTCTATCCGAGACCACTAACACAGGCATGTACCCCAGACATTACCTGCTATGAGACGTCGAGCGGCTCTTGGCCATTAAAACTAAGTTCCGCTTGGCTTCTGGTCATACCGCAGTTGCTACTCAGCCTTCCTCTCCTCCATACATCGAAACTACCCATGTTAATCTCGGCAGAGTCGTGTCCTGACTCCGAAGCAGATCCTTCGGGCACCTTCAGCATAAACGAGGACTGTTGGGTATCTGCACCTCAACCTTCCCCAGGAATGCATAGACTTCATCAAAACTCATGGATGGTCGATATACAGTCTGTATATACAGAGGGAACATACACAGTGTATATTATACACACGCCACGTGTCACATGGTCATGACGCCCCTACTGAAATATCGCAGGAATATCTCCATTTCCGCCGGACACACCCATAAGTTATGGGTCATAACGGTTTCCGAGTACGGGATCGACTAGTCTTGATCAATACGACCCAACACAAGTGTACTACACTTAGTGTAGCGACATGATTTTCCCTCCGCAGACTCCTCACTAAGAGTTATCAACGACGGACTCTCGTGCAACCCAACATCTCTTTCTCTACTAGGACTCGTACCATATCGGATTATAGCGACGAAATAGACAGAGAATTAACACCCAAACAATAACCCGTGAAGTACGTAAGATCCTCGAATTGTGTGGACCACCAAAATACGGACTTCGCGTTATACTCACAGATAAGACTCGAATATCGGACCGTCCAACATTCTGATATACGCGTCCGGTTCGGACGCGTAACCAACATGTCTTGTTAATAGTCCCCAAAAGTCTGATAATGAGCATACGAAAGAGAAAAGTGGACTAGATTAATGATGAGTCCTCGTCTGATAAGTGACAACTATAGCAGACTTCCCAAGCCTCGAGCGATCATCATCACAGCAAGGTGGCGAGGTGGTGTGCCCTACATCACCACGGTACGATCAATAGTCATCCGCCGCGTGTTGGAAATAAAGCAGAGAAAAGTTTGTCTCAGCCACTATCTCGTGTTGAAGACAACTGCAAACTATCGCTCGTGATCGACTCAAGCTCGATCAATCGAGTGATGGGAGAAGTGAGCCTCATGCTCGCAAGGTACAAGATAGCTATGAGAAATACCGCCAGGTCACGATGATGAGCCGATGATTTATAACGAACCAAATGTACCTGGCAGTCCCCATAGCATCCTCAGCTGGTGGTATGGCAGAGACAATAGTGCTCACATTGGGCGAGCTAAGAAGTGGGAACGAGTAGAACCATCCCGTAAGTTATATTCATCACTTGATACATTTACAATGAAGTGTTTGCTTTGTAAGGCATACCCCTTCCGGCCTGATACACACAAGGAGCGGGCATTCTCCGGCAAAGCATAGTTTGCCGCCTATAAGAGGATGTTGTTCAACATCGTAGCCTTCACCCTTGATCATAGCACCGATTACCAGAAGATAGACGCAGATAACTTTTAACATGGGGGTTCGAGAAGAACAAAGAGCTGAATCCAGAAACATTCCACTCGCTCACTCTACACAAACGGAACTGAGGCTCACCTTACAACGTGCATGACCTATGTCCGATATTTCACCATACTAAATTTCGCATTGACCATGGTCCTCAACTACTGCGTCTGTAGCGTCTTCTTGATCAAGCCGATCGCCACTGGTGAACAACCCAACACTGGCGTCGCCGCTAGATGATGAGCTAGTCATCAGAAGATGTTTACAACACGCTATGGAGGTTCAAACATATCCTGATGTTACCGAAAGAAAAGACCCCAGAAGTTTCCCTCAATCCGGAGTCCTTCTGCTCCAATCATATCGATCAACTCGCGTACTCCACGTTAAACGCTATAAATTAACAAGATTCCGCACAACCTTGTGCGGTGTTAACCTGCCACAAGCCGTACACGGATAGACCAACTATAAGAAAATGAAGAAGTCAAGACAGACACGATCACCGACAGACACGATCACCGTTGGAAAGGCGGCTGCCTAGATCGTCGTAGTGGTACTTCCGTACGCGACACGTCTCTGATTCGCAAGCACGTACACATAGCTTGAATGTGTGGCATCTGTAAAATGTGGCACACACAACTACTAGTTGTCAACTAGGACGACTACAAAAGAAATGAAGCAGTTTGTGCAAGCATCACAAAGAGAACCATCAGTGATGGTCCATCACTAGCTGCTAGTGACCACCTTTGGAGTATGCTATAATGACACTTCACCTGTTAGGTAGTCCTGACGCAGGCAGTGGTTCTGTAACCGGCCGCAGGCTCAGAGTCTGAGACTCTGACTGAATCATTATTCGCCGTTTCGGACAGACCAAGGTTTGCACCTCGCTTCGCATCGTGATCCGTCAGTGTTCCCGTCTGCGTTCCTTGCTGATATGAGCGCAAAAGTTTTCGACAATCCCCTCATTCGAGAAAAAATGAGACTGTAGCAGCTGCCATACATGATGGGGACGATAGAACAGAGTCAGAAGTGGTGATGGTAACGAAGGAATGCAGACATTAAAGAATCAATCAAGAAATGTTCAACGACAGCTCTAATCACCGAGCGTTGGAAACTTTCCAATGGAAAGCGCACTTGTTCAGCGGCGGAACTTTAGCGCACGCCCTGGCTCCTCCAGTGTGGATATCTCACAAATCTTGTAACGCTTTGGATCAGTTACATCTAATCAAGCTATGAAACATGATTAGTAAGTGCAAATCATTTGCTAGCAGCCTGATCGAATAAGACAGTGACGCTCTGGCCTGCCAAACGCGGCAGGCCAAGCGAAAAAATTTATTTTTCCATATTTTTCCGTATTTTTCCTTCATTTTTCCTTCATTTTTCCTTCAAACTTCAAATTTACTTCCGAAGGAAATAATTTTTCTATTTTTCCTTCCGCTCGCCACCTCTTGGCAACAGTGTATACTAGTGACTAGCATACACTGTTGCTAAGAGGTGGCGGCAACAAGTTGCTGCCAGCAACGGAAAAGTGGAGCTGGCGCATCGAAGTCGCTAGCCAGCGCCATGTTGCACATTGTTGCCTCAACTTGAAACTTATGATACTTTGGTGCACACGTGGCGCTCATGGTCAGCGGAAGGACAACAGTATGGTCAGCGGATGGACAACAGTACTGCAGCCGCTACAGTCAACAGTGTTGATTGGAGTCCAATAAACGTTAGCCTTCCTTCGTTATCCTTCCGAACGAGTTCGAGCTCTTCCACGACTGCTTCCCGCTCCTATAGGTTAGTCTACCCCTCGGCCTCATCAATACCGCTTACCTTCTCCATCGCTCTCGCCTTGTCTTTCCAGCTCTCTACTTCCGCCTAAAGAGAGCGTCCATCCCCGATGCCCGGCCATGAGGTAGTATCACCCTCAAAGCCGCGATACGATCAAGGTCCGCTGACCGTGAGCCGACTGCAACTAAGATGATGGGATAGTTAACCCCTTCCTTTGAATAAGCCTTGTAATGCCTATATCTTTGAGATGAGCAATAGTACCTGCAAATACTGTAAGATAGGCCATCTCGGATGGTAGCACTACCAACTCTTCACCGACTTATGGTATATGATGCCGAATCGCTTCCCCACTGCCCCACGAAACTCCCAGTCCGTAGCGACGCCCTCAGGCTTGAAAATCTTCGGATTACGACGCAAATGATCCTGATGACAATTTCTTAGGACTTCCCATCACCCTAGTCACCTGGATCATTTCATCCATATGCTGCATCCGTTGAGCTTCCTTCAGCCTCAGACTCGAACGGCGAACCTTCACCGAAACTCGCAACAGCTATCCCACTGAGAACTCTTACTTGAATCGGCTCCTCCACACACTGTCTGATATCGCTGGCCTCACGCATATTTACACCTCGACGAACAATCCCTCACAAATTGTGAGTCACAATATTTACGCCTCATCCTCCTCCTTACTTTCCTTCTTGTGCTTCTTATTCTTTTTATGATGATGCCTTCTACTCTTCTTAGTGGCGCGGCTTCCAAAAACAGCAATAAAATTGCCCACAGCAACGACAGGAGACCACCTCCTACCCCTTGCTCGTCAAATGCAGAATAGCTGCCGGCACCATCCTGCATCGCAAATGATGACAGACTGGCTGAAGACATTCCAGGGGGTAAAGAAGGCATAAGTCCAGTCACCTGATCGTCAGCATCAACGTCAGCTGCGACAGACAGAGAAATACATTCACCGTATTGATGATCCCATCTGTGGGCCGCCAGATACTGCTAGGCTCATTCTCCTTCCTTTCCCGCATTTCCGAGGCTGCAACGTCGGCATCCTCTGTCCATTCCAAATGCCCTCCTTTATTGACGTTCATGATTTTCTCCTCAGCTCTCGCGTTCCTATACGTTCGCCTTACACAGCTATCAAGCTATAGCATGCTCTCACTACCTCACTGCTTGGTCAGGGTTAGGAGGCTGTCTCCATTTTCGTTGCCGTATCCGAACCGTTGGAGGCGTCAGACCATCACGCAAGGCCAGTGGGAACTCCGGGTCCAACTATAGCGATGGGTAAGTACTCTAGACACTGTGAACGCTCACCTCAATTCCCTGCTCCCGTAACCGCTGTTTATACTCGGACCACGTCCCACGGAAGGCCACGAGCATTTGGCTAAAATCCGCCGTCTTAGTGAATACGAGATCGTTGGGCGACTTTATTAAAGTCGCCCAAAGTCACTTTAACGACTTGACAAATGTCGGAATGTCCAATAACACTCCCGACAAAGTTTCCTCGAACGCCTGACTCAATAGTACCCTCAAATAGGGTGGCCGAGGGAAGGGAAAATAACCGTTCTTTCTTTCGGCCTCACGCGGTGAATACTTGTTATGAACTATCGATTAACTTAGGCAGCACAATAACATGAGCCTGTCACACAGAGGTAGCATAGGTTACATGAGACACCTGGCATTGCTCCAGACTGGAGCTTCCAGACTGGAACAACTGACCAGGGCATTGGGTGGTCGATCTAGTGGTGAATGATCAGTTAAACTCGACTTCGGAACCTTTCGGAGCAATTGAATAAAGCTCTCCCTCAATCTGAGAGAGAGTACGCAGCGCGTATCGGGCATTTCTCACAGCCTGATCCGATGATGCTGCGTTTCGTTATGAGATTCTCATCTGCATGGCGTCTGAGTTTTCCAGTTAGCTGGAAAGGGAGAAGCACACTACGAGATGCGGATTTTACCAAGCATGACTTCGAAGTTTTTCGGGCAAGGTATTGTGCGCTTCCAAAGGCTAGCAAGACTGTATCGTGATTCAACCAACCTATCGAGATAGGCTGATTCAATTCGCTCAATATCCTGGTAACCAGAACCTGGTGTCTGAGATGTATGCTTCCCGGGTGCACGAGCTCCGCTCGCGACGGCTTTATTAATTGCATCGAGCATGGAGGTGGTCGTCGTTGTGTCGCTGCCAACTGTAGCAAGGGTGCAGTTGGTAAGACAGATTTCTGCGAGAGCCACGGAGCCGACCGTCGCTGTTTACACCCCAATTGTGCGGCTCCAGCTAGATCCGGAGGAGAGGTACAAATGTGTCAAAGGCACGGAGGTAGGAAGAGATGCAAGGAGATGGGATGTGAGAGGGTGGTGGCTGCGCGAAGTGACCACTGTAAGCAGCATCGGGTGCTTGCTCTACGGTCTGCCGATTCGCACGGGAGTTGCGAGCCTGGTCTCGTCGATGAAAGATGGGCAGAAGCTACATGGTCGGCTCTCAACGCTCCAAGTCGTGAAGAACCTGAAGAATCGGTGCAGGACGAAGATACGGTGATACTGTACATACCGTGGGATTAGCTATGCAGTTGTGGCTATTGCTAGTAATTCGCTTAATGGCGCCTGTAGTATTATAGATTCTATAATATAGAACGATGTATTGAGTGATACTATCGGAAAAACGATTCCTGTTGCGTTGCGAGTACGTTAAACACAGTATGTTCTGTTTTGAAATTTTGGCTGGATATACTGGCAACATCGAGCCGCGGCTCGTCCCTCTGTACTCCACAGGAAGCCCAGCCCCAGAGGGTCTTGACGAACATGAAGAAAACACTTTGTAAGCCCACATGTCAATTGAGGACCAAACGCAACCCGCAGCACATGATAGTCTAAAGATTTGCATGACAACTCGAAAGCGGATTGAGACCGACATGATCCCATGTAACTTCGAGGGATGAGAGCCCAGCATGGCGGCAGGAGCCCTCATCATAGCTAGTCCTCATCCGAAGAGTTTTCAAAAACTTCGATCTTTCTCCATCGTCCAGCTGGAGTGGCACTGTTCTTGATTGCCTAACAATTGCGCACGTTCCTCGATAGAGCGTTGAGCGGCTCGATTCAAGCCTTTCTCCGCTGGATAACCCCAAATTGATTGTCCGGGCGGCCATCCGGTAATGGGTCAGACTCATTTGATCCACGCGAAACGGTATGTAGTCCGCAACGCAAGAAACGGCACCTTTCCTTCCTTCTCGTCTTCAGTATCCGAATCCTCGTCGATTATAGAAATATGCCTGAATTCGCTAGACTTTTTCTCGACCTGGTGATTATGTGGCCTGAGGAGGAACAACACTAGTCGTCTGAGAGCCAAATGATTTGGCCGCCAAATCATCAATTTTCGCGGAGACCTAACATTGACTGTGCATTGGAAATTCCAATTCGGAGTATCGCCATCAGAACAATACAATGTCGGCCGGAGAAACCCGTTCCTTACACAACTGGTGATTCATCGAAAATCTCCTGTATTTTTGGCTCCTCGATATCTTCTTTGACTTGCGCGCGTTGCTTGTAAATTAGCTTTCGTCTGGCAGTAGCAAGGTCAGCATTGACTCTGCCAATGATTCCCTGCTCTGCGCCACTATCGTTGAGTATCCTGAGCCCACAATGACCCCAAGCTCGTTCCCGTCTACCGAGGACAGCAAGCGTTTCATCATTGGCTCACTTGAGAGCTGTCTGAAAGTCTTTCACTGCTTCCTCGAGGTAATCCAACTCCGCGCGAACTTTACCACGTCGATGAAAGGCCTAAGTCCGAGGGAACTCAGGCACCGTATCACACGCGAGGCGAACCGTGTCCTAGCCACACCTTCACATTCTTAGGATCCAACGCGATGGCTCTCTGAGCATCCTCTAGCCCTTCTCGAGGGCGGCGAAGCTTTAGCCGCACCAAGGCTCTATTGGACCATAGTACTGATACATCCGAGCGGAGACGGAGGGCCCTCGTATAATGCAACTGGATGACAACGGGATCGAATGCCGTCCAGCCAGTCCACATAACTCACCTCTGCTTCATCCAAGTCTCCCGAAGCGAAGCTCTCATTGCCTTTTATTTTCTCAGCCTCACACATGGCGTGCCTTTCTGCTGCCGACATAGCCTCTACCCGTTCGGAAGACAGACTCTGGTCGATTGCCAATGGAGCCTCTGCAGGTGCTACGCTGAAATGGAGCTGCAGTGCCTCCACGAGATACTCAGCCCAAATATTCTTTCCAAAGGGACGCATCAATCGTCTCATGCTATGCTATCGGAGCGACTCATCGAACTATGACAAACGATGATCTGGATTACCTCTCTTCCGTGTTGGTTACCTTAACGTCCACAGCATCGCACGCAGCTTCGACATCGAACCTGACCATTTTCAATCCCATCCCTTCCGCACTCTACATCTGACCTATCCCAAGCTCTGTAATAGTCCTTCATGGCCGTCATATCTCGTGCGTATGGGTTTCTCTGTTCACCATCCCCGCTTCTCATGTCGGCATGACCTCCATCCTCAGCAGTCATCTCAGCGGATATCGAGCCGCCCTCATCGCAGGAGCGTACCTCCCTAATCGGGCATGCCTTTCTAGTACGCACTGAATCTGAACCAAGCGGATTACGCTGATCAGCACAACTTGCGAGAGGTGACCTCCTGGGATCTGCTCGTTCCTATCACGCGCTTCCTTATCGATAGATTTTAACTCTTCTTCCCACATCAACACGATAGAGTTAGCGGCAGCAGCTTCTTTCGCGGAGGCTTTTACTGAGTTTGGATAGAGCCTGCACTAGTATTGTCAAAAGCCTGAACCGTTGTAGCACAAGGAATAGGGGCGATAACTGTACGTAAACTCTCATCACTATAGAACAACAATACTAGATCAACAACAAGATCCTCGGGATAAGACTCGTATGAAAGTACGGAAATAGCGACTAGTCGAGCGATCGTAGCATGGTGAAGAAAAGACTAGATAAAGGGAAGACCTAAGTTGAGGATAGGTGTAGCCCATCGCACTTATAGTAAGCCTTTTTGTCGATCCCCAACATCTTCTCTTTGGCTCTCGTGAGCAGTTCTCTGTAATAACCACCATCCGCCTCTAGAAGGGTTATATAGCGACCCAGCTTGGCAGCGGATGTACACTTCTCGACTGCCTAACAAGAATATCCACATCAAACCTCAGCTGTAGATTGCGCACGACTCGCAGGCTAGGAGCGTATGACCTCGAAGTCGATCTCTTCCAACTTGATGTCTGCAAGATTCTCCCTCGACTGCCCTAAACCTTCCAGAGAGGTTGCTGTCATGAAAGGGGGCGCAAACAGACGATTAAGACCTGCAGAAGCCAAATCGCTATTTCAGACCCTCTCCTGATCAAACGCCGACCACCGAAACCAGATGGAATCAATGCTAGCCCGTTCTGCCGAATGTTGACAAGTGCAATCACGAGCTGCAGATCGACCTCACTCGAGTCTGATCCATCGTCATGTGACTCACTATGACGCAATGCAACGATATAATTAGATTAAATCCGCTTTAAGCGATAAGACTATTCGGAGGAGGCATTCATGACAAAGTCCCGATGGAGTTGATAGCGGAGGGTTGAGACTGAGACCGTAACAGCAACAGTGGGGATGATATCTTGTAGCACTAGTAGTGGCTCACGTAAGCATCATTCCAGAACTCCGAACGTGTCCGCTGGAGTCGGCATATTATCATATTCGTCGTCCTCCACCAGGCTAGTCATCTCGACCGTCCCCTCCCTACCCAAACAATAGATCATATTCCACAGCTGACAGCAATCCCTCACCATGAAGTGCTCTCAGCAAGAAGAGAGCTCACACCTCTCAGAGGCGCCTGGCATGTCCTCTCTGAGGCCGAGATTCGACCTGTGAAGATCAATGCCACGTATGAAGACCACCCTCAAGTCGAGGGCCTCGATTGTTACCAGCACCGTCTCCTACAATCCCGAACTCCTTAGCGGCCGATACCATTTCTTGTAGAGCTGAAGTATTATGTCATTCGATCGATGCTGTTGCTGCCACTGACATACCATTTGTCACCCCCTGCAGAGTCTTCAACTCTCCCCTCAACGTTAGCTTCTCTTCGTTATCCTTTCGAACGCGTCCGAGCTCTTCCACGACTGCTTCCCGCTCCTATAGGTTAGTCTACCCCTCGGCCTCATCAATACCGCTTACCTTCTCCATCGTTATCGCCTTGTCTTTCCAGCTCTCTACTTCCGCCTAAAGAGAGCGTCCATCCCCGATGCCCGACCATGAGGTTGTATCACCCTCAAAACCGCGATACGATCAAGGTCCGCTGACCGTGAGCCGACTGCAACTGAGATGATAGGATAGTTAACCCGATCCTTCTGAGGAGGACCTCCTCTACGAGGCTCACCTGTCTTTCCAAACCTCCGAGGCTTTGGCACTCTACCGTCCGGCAGATTCGGAGGCCTTCCCTCCTCACCTGCTTCCGAGCCAATGGTCCTCGAGAGGCGCAGCTTTTTGAGATGTTTGACCCGATGGCCGCCTTGCAATTTCCGCTTCTAAAACAGTCCGCCTAACTCCTATCATGCGCTACTCCTCTCACTCGGCCTCCAGCAGCAGTAGTAGTGCCTTCTATCTCAGCTTGTTGCTCACAGATGATTCTCAGCGCACTGAGGACCCCTTTTTTGCGACAAGCTTTGGTCCGTGTACATCCTTGAGCTGGGTAATAGAACCTGCGAGTGGTGTGAAGTATGCCATTCGGGATGGCAGTTCTACCATCTATTCTTGGTCCTATGATACATGATACCGAATCGCTCCTTCACTGCCTGACGGAA